CTTCTCCCACCTCTGTCCCTCCTAAACAGGTTATACCCCTCTATATTAGTAGCCCAGTCATGCGTGCTGTCCAGCCAGGTTTCCGCTATACCCACTATGTCGAAGTCCTCTTCAAGTATCATTATTTCAAGCTCTTCTAATTTATTTGCCAGACTTCTAGCGTTGGTGTACATACATTTAATTCCTCTCTTTTTGTGGGACAAAAGTTTACTACCTTGATGTTCCCCACTATTTTTATTGTTATTATTCTGCCTAGCTTTCGGTCGTCTGTTGGTAGTTATACTTACATGTGCCAACGGATTTCCTATAATGGCTGGAGTGAGCCCACTATTATTATTAACTCCCTTTTTTCTACTTTGTGTTATTTTTACCTATGATTAAATCATATATGTTTTGTTTAAGTAATTTTATTTTTATACCCTCCACCCCACTTTCTAGTTTAAAAACTCCTCCATGTGTGGCCACCTTTTTAACTACTTGCTGTCCCGCAAACAAGAACATTGTGTCTAGTCAGCGATGGCTGTTACATAAAGCCTTACTCATATATCAAGCACCCCGTGGTGTGAATTTGCATGCGTCATGTAGTCATTTACATTAAATAGCCAAAAGATTGAGGACACTGGGCCTTCACACTTCAACCCTACTGAACACCTTTGGGATGAATTCGAACACCAATTGTGTGAGCCTTCTCATCCAACATCAGTACCTAACCTCACAAATGGGCACAGATTCTGACAGGTACTCTCAAGTCTTGTGGGAAGTCTTCCCAGAAGAGTGAAGGCAGGTATACCTGCAAAAGATCAGTGGGGAAATCGGCACTTGCTGATCTTCCCTCCAATCACTAAATGTGGAAGTGATGTGTATTACTTCTGTCATTGCTCCGGTTGTGTAGCTGGTGAAGAAGCCGATGAAGCACATATCTGCTAAATCAACTTCTTTGGGGGTCCCTAGGTGACATTAGGGGTCCAATAGACTCCCGAAGTCTCCATAACGGGAAGGGGGTTTCACACCCGGGTGGTTAGTGGCTGCTAGTCAGGTGTCACACTTCTAATACAGATCCTGTGCTCCAATTTCTAGAAATACTAACTCAGTCATAAATTCTTGTTTTCATTTCTAGGAATTTGGAATTTTTACTTCTTCGTGATCTCCCGGGAATCCAGAAGAAGGAGATGATTCTGGAGCTTCTGCAGAAATCCATCCCTCCATTACAGATTGAGCTAGATCTGAAGGACTGACCGTGCCGCTGCTCTCCTGTTCATCGGACATAAAGAACAGACACGAAAGGGAAGTCTGGAGCCAAGGCGCCTGGTCACCCCTCAGGTTTTCAACCATTATAAAGGAAGTTTTTATGTTGTTCATCACGTCTGAGTGATTTTAGACGGCGGTGAGAAGGGGTTTTTCATTTGCCAAAATAAAGCATCCGTCACATGACATGTTACTTTGCTTTGTTGCACAAAACATAAATAAATATAATCATGTAAGTTGCCTTAACCAGCCATGAAAGACTTTCTCCCATCATAGAAATGTATTAAAAGTGCTACCTGCTAAGAAAAGAGTTAAAACTAAACTCTAGGCAGATATAAAAGACACAAATTCATGATTTAATTGGGGGGGGGGGGGGGGGGGGTGAGAGGAAGAAGCAGTACAATGAGAAAATCTGTTCATCAAAGCATGATGAAAGGAGGAGAGAGCAGTGTGACAGAGATGAGATCTTTACTGTGTAGCTTCTCCTTTCACTGTCCAGTCACAGGCTGGGAACGTGGGTCCAGGACAACCTAGGCTCTGAGGAAGTGGGTTTATTTATGCTGCCCATCAGATTGAGGACATCTAGTGGCAGAAGAAAAGTACTGCAGGGAAATCTCTGAATGGCAGCAAAAGCTGGTTTTATTGTTTTAACTTTTAGTAGCCTATTTACTTTGACCTTGCTATTTTTGTCAGGCATTTGGCTTTAATACTTGTCCAGTCGCTGATCTTCGCTATATAAACAGACACACTTGTGGGTGTGTCAGATGCCTGGTACTCTACTTCATTCTGTGGTTCCGTCTGCCACCTGCTACATCACTACAACACACAGTAATTATTCCGTCAGCTTAGGTCTTCTACAGAGTGTAGATCGGTGCTGCGGGACAGGTAGGTATTAACCCTTTCCTGTACAGGTAGCATTGAAGAATCTCATGAATATCACATACATAGCACCCCCCAGCTGTGGTGAAACTATGCATGTCTCATGGGATTTGTAGTTCCACAGCAGCTGGAGGACAGGAGTATGCCTACCCCTGCGCTAAACAGTGCTTAGATATCCAAAAAGACAGGAAACAAGATTCTGAATAAAGGCTGTGACACACTGCATGCGAAGCGATGGCAAGCAGTGTGTCATGTCATTTTCTCCCTGGCACTTCAGCTTGCTGAGATGAAAAACGTCACCTTCAGCCAATCGGCTCACGCATCAGGATGCGACGTCTGGCCGGTTGTTACACACGAGGCGATTGGCTGAAGGTGCAGTCAATCATCTGCCTGCACTCAGCTCATATACTGCAATGAAAGCTCTGTGCCGGACAGCTTTGCTTCGCTCTGCACGCCTTTGGGTGCAGTGTGTCACGGGATTAAAAGTCATTGCGGATTTAACACTTAAAGAGTAATTCCACTTTTGTTGAGAAAACAACAATCCCCTCTGGGCGATCAGCGTACGTTGCAAAGGTTTTAACCAACCGAGTTGCAGTTTCCTACTTGTTTCTGTTGTGAAGAAAAAGCTGTTTGTTCCAGCAGCATGTCCTGTGCAAACTGATCCCTGAATGGGAGGGTCTGGGCTCATTATAACCAGCTGGTGGGCTTCCTGGGTTATAATAGAGAAAGGTGCGGTGTCGGCATCCCTCTCGTAATTAACCTTTAGGCTGGGTTCACACCTAGGCGTATCGAATATGCACGTTTGTCGCGCGTTTCGCGGTAAAAAAAACGCGCGTTTCCGAGGGCTACCTGGCTGTATCCCAATGGATACACGCGACAAAAACGCCCCAAAGAAGCTCCTGTACTTCTTTGGGCGTTTTGTAGCACGTTCATACGGCCTGTAATACGCCCAGGTGTGAACCATACCCATAGGAAATAATGGGATTTCAGTGTTTGAGCGTTTTGCAGAGCGTAGGAACGCGCTACAAAACGCCCAGGTGTGAACCGGGCCTTAGATCCTGTTCACACCGGGGTGGTTCGGCCGCACGGATCCGCCGACATTGCTATGGGGACCATTCATGCAACCGCGCGGGTCCAAGTGATCTGAACCGCCCCCTGCACTATTTTTGCCTCACTAATCAGTGCAGTTTCCATACAGGTGTCAATGGAACCACGCTGATCAGTGCAGTTTTGGCAGTTTTTAATTGCGTTTCAGCGCTGAAACGCAATCAAAAACTCCCAAAACCTCCCTTTTCAGATCAGTGTGGTAACCTGGTGTGAATGGGCTCTCTGGGAGTATTCTCAAAAATGAAATTCCTATTGCAATGGATGCCAAAAACTGTACTTGTATCTTAGTACAGACTTCAGCCAACAACAGAAGCAGGAGGCGACATTTCTCGGGGTGTCCTGTGCACCAAGTGTGTACGGGTCGCCATATTGCATTGCATTTTTGTAGCAGACTTAGAACATTACACTCACTCCTCCAGACTGACATCCACCCATCAAAGCATTTTAATATTGTCAGAACTCCTGCGGCTTGCTTGCATCGGGCCTGGGGGCTCTTGAAAGGAGTATTGATGCAGGGTGCTGTGTTGTTTTCAGGAAGCTATGTACAGCACACTGCTGGCCTTGCAAAATATAAGCAGATTATACTTCAGCTTTACGTTTTGCCTTGACATTTTTAAGCATGGTCCAGAAACTGGAAACAATAAGGGTTAGGTTCTCAAAGAACACTTAAACTTTAATTAATAGCCTTATTTTCTTCAAGATACAGTGCTCCAGTCATTGTTGGAGGTGACCTTCAAATGACAAGTGGTGCTATAAAAGTAATGGGCAGGAGGAAGAGTTGGAGTGCAGTCATATGGCGTACAGAGAAAATACTAACAACAACAACAACCCCCCTCCCCCTCTCTTCCTGAGGTTTGTTCAGGAAGTTAAACTCCGAAATCTAAAATGGAAGATTTCTTATTAACAAGCAAAAAAGTGAACAGAGACAAAAACAACAAAATCTATCAGCATTGTTATGGGCTATACTCCATGTAAATAAAGCACGCACTACCATACTTGCATTGTATACATATTTTATTACCATTTGCCCCCCAGCTGAGGATTGTCATCAGTACATAAAATATAAAACAAACATAAAATGTTTATTACCCCACATCCCGGAAGTTGTATTGCGATGTGAATCTTTGTATTGGTACATTCAGTGATACTGATCGGATTGGGTTCATGGTTAATCTCTGCAGCAGCTTAATAAGTAACCAGAATCACCTCTGGATAACTGAACGCTCTGCATGATCTATCGGAGGGAACACTGCATAAGGTAAGCTGACCGATCTACCAGGCAGGACCTATTGTAAAACTATTGGCCAACAATCAGCTCAGCTCGCTGAGATAAAACACACGTGTTATCCGACACAACAAATGTTATCTTCAGACATGTGATTGCTGTTATCGTTACTCTTTGGCGGACTTTGCTGAAAATGACATTTATGGCCATTGTTATATCTTAGTGAATTGAGCCCAATATTATACTCTGCAACTACCAGACTTCTTACCCAGCCTGGGACCCATATTAGGAGTAGTAGGATTCATGCAGCAAAGGTTCAAACAATAACAGTGCAAGGAGCGCAGCGCCCCATCACATTCCACCACGACTTCTCTACACTGCTTGTTTGCCTCCTCAGGAATAGTAGCTCAGTGACTGTCTGAGTGTGTACATGACAGTGGCTGAAAATAGAACATCTGATAAAATACCAGAGTCCCGTGACATAGCTGAGAATGTAGCCTATCCATAACAAGAGATCAGTGACATCACGCATCATGCAGCCTATCTATTCACTAGAGACCAGTGACATCACTGAGAGTGCAGCCTATCCACTCACTAGAGACTGGTGACATCACTGAGAATGAAGCCTATCCACTCACTAGAGACCGGTGACATCACTTAGAATACAGCCTATCCATTCACTAGAGACTGGTGACATCACTGAGAGTGCAGCCTATCCACTCACTAGAGACCGGTGACATCACTGAGAATGCAGCCTATCCATTCACTAGAGGCAGGTGACATCACTGAGAATGCAGCCTATACTTTCAGTAAAGATTGGTGACATCATGGAGCATGCTTCCCATCTATTCACTACAGACCGGTGACATCACAAAGAATGCAATTATTTTATTAACCTTACAGGTGATTTGGTTTTAAATAAATGTATTATCAGCAGATAATAATTAGTACATCAGTGTAGAAATAGGGTAGTACTATGAGTGCAGGACTGATAGCAAACAGCCACTTAGAATGTATCCTATCCATTCACTAGAGACTGGTGACATCACAGAGCATGCAACCTATCCATTCTCTAGAGAGCGGTTACATCACTTAGAATGCAGCCTGTCCATAGACTAGAGATTGGTGACATCACAGAGCATGCAGCCTATCCATTCACTAGAGACCGGTGACATCACTGAGAATGCGGTCTATCCATTCTCTAGAGAACGGTGACATCACTGAGAATGCAGCCTATCCATTCACTAGAGACCGGTGACATCACTGAGAATGCAGCCTATCCATTCTCCAGAGACCTGTGACATCACTGAGGATGCAGCCTATCCATTCTCCAGAGACCAGTGACATCACTGAGGATGCAGCCTATCCATTCTCCAGAGACCAGTGACATCACTGATGATGCAGCCTATCCATTCTCCAGAGACCAGTGACATCACTGAGAATGCAGCCTATCCATTCACTAGAGACCGGTGACATCACTGAGAATGCAGCCTATCCATTCTCCAGAGACCAGTGACATCACTGAGAATGCAGCGTATCCATTCTCCAGAGACCAGTGACATCACTGAGAATGCAGCCTATCCATTCACTAGAGACCGGTGACATCACTGAGAATGCAGCCTATCCATTCTCCAGAGAATGGTGACATCACTGAGAATGCAGCCTATCCATTCTCCAGAGAGCGGTGACATCACTGAGAATGCAGCCCGTGGCTTACTAAATTTACTTTAACAGACGCAGTTAGGAAGTCTCAAGCTGGGTAAGTTGTCTTCATAGTTGGTGGCCATACAAGTTCAGAACACGCTTCCTCCAGGAAAGCTATTTGTACCGATAAATAACACAGTATATGAGATCTAGTAGCCGGGAAGGCTGGGAGTCTGGATTCTTTACATGGACTCAGCTTAGCTGAACCTGTTGGTTGCACAGGGGAGTGTGCGGCATAGTTCATTCGTCCATTTCTCGAATACAATCAGATCTTCTCCACTTCATTGCCCATTATGCCACAGCGTGGTTGATTAGCGTTTAAACAACTGGATCCTATAAATAACTTTCAAAGGGCCGTGCCCGCTGTTTACCAGCATACGAGCCGCCTCTGGTTTTCTGCTCGCACATTCCTGCCGCCTGGTTCCGGGAATAATAAATATTGAACTAGTCTCTCTGTGCCCGGATTTCTCCCGGTTAGATGTTGGGGAAGCGGTAGTTGAATTTTCTGGTGTTGTAATATTTCTTACTGTCCAGGGCTGGTAAGATGTTGCTGTTGGTGAGCTGTGGGAGATGATGCAGCTGCAGGGAAGTACACAGAAAGAGAGTAGAGTGTCATTTGTTGAAATCCACACCTCCGATCCTCTATTGTTAGGCCTCATTCACACACAACGCAAGCAAAATTGTATATTGCGTCTATGCGCGTATATACGAGTGTCTATGCGTGCACTATATGCAATCCCAGAATGCATCACTCGTAATGGAATTTGAATGTGGTGTACGCATGTACGCGCGTAAACATGCATATGTGCGCGTAAATACGCAAAGATACGCTGCCCGGACGCATCTCTGTTCCATTCTGTTTTTGCGCAAATATACGGCTCCATACGCGGCTGTGTGTATGGAGCCATTTATTTGCATATGTTGCATATGGTACAATACATACGTACGTGCGTATATTCGCGGCAGTGTGAATGAGGCCTAAATGAGAGAGATTCAGGCCCTGCTGGGTCACTGATCAGATCAGAAAGTCAGAGCAAATTTTAAGAAACAGAGGTCAGCAGCAGCCCTTATGAGCTCTCAATGCAGGCTTCTTTTAATGAAAGGGAAAGAGTGTTGCCCCGAGATCCCAGCCAATCAGATCACAGGTTTCACTTTTTCTAGTTAGAAGATCCAGAACAGAATCCCTCTTGTGAGGGATTCTATTCTGGGGGATAAATCATTTTGAGACTGCAGAAGTCATTAAAAGTTGCATTTTCACTTGAATTTGGGGAAACATTCGTTGTGTTGACCTATTTCACTTGCTTTTGTTTGATTTGATCATTGCAAACAGCTGAAAGTTTGTAGATTTTGCCAATATATCTGATTTGCAATGAATCATTTTGTATCGGTAGCTCTACCTACCCCTGGAAAGTATCTCCTGTGCAGTCTGGTCTGTCTCCGGCTCAGTCTCTCTGGATCCCTCGCAGCTTCCGCTTCTTCTCGGATGCTGTCAAAGTACGGGTGTTCCAGCAGGTGCTCACACTTTAGTCTCTCTGAGGGGTCCATGTGCAGGCAGCCCTGGAGGTGACAAAGGAGAACAATCTCTAGCAACAGTTTAAAGTGCTCACGAGTTTAACAATCACCCCATACAAAAAAGTACCGCCATTGGGCTGATCGAGTAATGGAGTGCAAAGAGCAATCACAACCTCTTCAATAACCATTATTAACCAATCAGATTCTATTCTGCTAAATCATTCAACGTTACTCAATACAACCATAGGTAGGAATAGAGACCTAAGACGGACCAAACGTCCGGCCGATCAGAAGATCTGGTCTTCGCCATGGTGTCCGATCCATTTACAGGCGACTAGTAAGTGAACTGAATACCCTAAACCGGGAGTAGGCAACTTCAGCACTCCAGCTGTCTTAAAACTATAACTCCCATCAAACTCTGCCTCTGGGAGTCATACCTGTCGCTGTCAGAGTTTTGCAATGCCTCACGGGACTTATAGTTCCACAACAGCTGGAGTGCTGAGAGTACCAACCCCTGCCCTAAACACAAATCAGGGGAATGAATCAAAACTTTAGCAGACAAAAACTGGAGCAGTTGCCCATAGTAACCAATCAGCTTCTCTCTTCAGTTTGCACAGTTAAGATTTGAAAATGAAAGAGAGAAGCTGATTGGCTGCCATGCACAGCTGCTCCAGAATTTGTCTGCTCCAGATTTAATAAATTCCTCTATGTTCATGTGTAAATTGCAAAAGCTGCTCGTATTGCTTGCAGCAAGTTGTCGCAGCGGTTCAGAACAGTCTTTTTAGTAGAAGTCTGCACATGGGACACATCGAAATTGGATGTAAATCCTGATTAAATGATATGGTTCATAATAGACAACTGCCACTTCAGTGCCGCTGATCTCCTGCAACTTCTTTGCAGCCACTTCCTGTCTACATACACTCCAGCAATGGCTGCATGGCATTTCTCAATGTGGATTTCCTAATGGTGACAACAGTGGACCGTGTCTGCATCATCTCTGTTGAAACAGCTGCTTTTAGTCTCCATCAGAATCCTGTAAGACTTACATGTCCCTATATGTAATGATGGAATAATATAATGAATACTCTTTTTATTTCATATGCCTTTATTTATATTTGTATCTTGATTTGATTGCAGACCAAGCTGTCTGGCAGATGTAATAAAGGCAGTGGTGTGGACCAACTAATGTTTTTCAGCGGGAAGGGGTTAAATTAAACAAGAACTCCGGGCATATTAAACATTCACCCTTGCAGTCGGGCTACCCCTGCACTGCAAACATTAGGTGTTTCTTTTGGTCTAGACCCAAAATAAAAAAAGATATACTAACCTAATCCTTGCTCCCGTCTGGATGCTAGACCAGTCCCCTCATCCTCTTCTCTCCCAGGCTTCAGCAGTCCAAGCACCTGTGACGTCATCACATCCATTTACTTGCATTGGATGTGAGGACACCAAAAGACATACCACAGCTGGAGTGAAGGGGCAAAGAGGTGAGTGGTCACCGCTGCCGGGCCAAGGATGGGGTGAGTATATCTTTTTTATTTTATACTCTAGACCAAAATGAGCACTTAACCCTTACAATGCGGGGGTAGCCTCACTGCAAGGGTTAATGTTTAATAAGCCCGGAGTCCTTCTTTCAAGTTTTTGCTGCCGAAATTCAGCTTTAAGGTGTACTCTTTAAACAAAAAAGGGAGAGAGAAACAGAATTACCTTCATGAGTCCCATTGCATTAGCAGAGATGTTCGGAAATCTGCCTTCCAGGGGATCCTGAAATTAGAATGAAGCATTAGACACAAGAGGGATGTGACAAAGCTCACACAGAGGTGACTCAAGTGCTGTGATGGCCGTGCTGCCTCTAGTCTGGGGGGGGGTGGGGGGGAGTCTTCTCACCATTTTTTCTGGATCCGGGATGCTGACCCCGCTGAAGAACAGGTTTGTACTGAACACTTGCTGATGCCGAGGAATGAGATCACCTGCAGAAGACAATAAACAGACATTAATACAAAATCACATTAAATAAAGAACAACGGTAGCATGCAACGTGCATAGAGGTCATAGCAGCCAATCAGAAGTCAGCGTGAAATCTACACGTGGACTGGCTGCTATGAAATTCTCCATTTTGCATACAGCTTTGCACCTCAGAGAATAAAGCTTGCTAGTAGCAAGACATAAAATGCATCACAGATCGTTTAAAGAGAGCATGTTGATGTAAAAACACCATCATGCCGCAAAGTATGACATGGCGCTCCCTCCATTTTCAGAAATGAATGTTTTGGTGGATTTCTGAAGAAATAAATTCAGCAGCTGCCTCTGTTCAGTTTATGTTATGCTCCATCCTATTTGTCACCGTGAAAGGCCAGGACATCATTCTGTGAGATAGACAGGAGTGCCTGGCAGCGTTGTTCTATAAAGCAGAAGGAGCTACAGAGAAAAAAGCATGAGAATGAACGCGATGCATGATTTGTATATCCTATAGCCCTCTCTGCAGCATCCGTTTCTTCTCCCTAATGGCTTTTCAGAGGAAGAACAGTGCCAGTCCATATTATATTCCACCACCTTTGCACGTAGCATTGCTGGAGTTCCAAGAAGGGGGGTATGTACATGATGAGGTCAGGGCCTACAGGCCTCCATAGCGGGCCCCGTGCAGGAACCTACTCTGCCTAATTCCTGGTGTTGTGTCAAGATACAACACCATCATTAGCAAGGAGGGTGCATTCTGCACCTTCCTGATCCAAGACCAGCAGTGCCTACAGGAACCACCGGCTTCCGCAAACGCAGGTGAAGGACCCCAGTGCCACATAAGGCTGCCTTGTAAAATGCCTGTTTAATGCAGACAGACGTTTATGGCAGCCTTACGCGATGCCGGGGTTCTTCTCTGCATACTGTATGTGAAAGCTGGCGGGTCCCACAGCAGGTAAGGGCACCGGCTCAAGCTATACTACAGATTTCCATTTGTACCTAAAGGCACCCGAATTGGAAATCAGGCCCTGGATGAGGTTGAGTATAAAGTAAACCCATCCCAGGCAAAGCAACATGTGTCCCTCCTTAGCTATCCCACCACTTTGTCCAGCACCAGTAGCTAATCAAGACCCATAATTCTGGGTATGAAGATGTGACCAAGCTGGGCCAATCAGCATTGTCACATGGGGAGTCCACAGCCCTGTGTAAGATACAACTCCAGCTCATATAGGACTTTTCTTTTACACCTATTGGCAGAACAGAGCCGCACGGGAGCAGAAGAAAAAATTTTGCCCACCTTCTTCTTCACTTCTGTAACAAAACAACAGGTCCTCTTTACTACAACGACATTCATGTCACTCACCCAGACATTTCCTGATGAGGTATAACTGATCCACGTCAGATTTGCCCGGCCACAGGGGGACTCCAGATATAAGCTCAGCGAACACGCAGCCGATAGCCCAGACATCCACAGGAGGGCCGTATTGGGTGTCACCCACAAGCAGCTCCGGCGCTCGGTACCACCTTGTAGCCACATAATCTGTGTAGTAGTCGCTGGGTCCCGCTAATTATAAACAGGACAAAGATTATTAAATAGATATATAAATATTGTGGGAACAGAATAAAACACATATCACTTCATTAGCAAAAACACTACACTGACAAAACAATCATCAAAGAGATAGTAATATGAACATTAACACTGAGGAGGCTGTCATCTTCATCCCTGCTACACTGATCAAAGACTAGCATGCATGTTGTGAGTTCACTGGCTCTATACTTATTCCAGGCCCTTCACTGAGTACATAGTGACACACAGCTTGCCTCTTGCATGGCTCCAGCTCTTTTCATTTTTTTAGGCAAGTAAATATGAAATATTCCATATTAATGCTTTCTCATGTATTTTCCTTTCCAGCCAGAAGGTGGAGCTCTAGGCTCATCTACACATGTTTACCAGCCAATTCTCATCTCCTGTGCTGAAAAATCTGTTTATAAAGCTCAATAGCTCAAACTTTAAGTTCCACCCAGAACTTGATGAGTGACTTCTCACCTCCTTACCCACCCTTGCCTCTTCAGACAGATATCTAGGACGTTTTAATTACAGAGAGAGTCTAAAAGTAAACAGCTTCTGCTGTGAATTCTCTGTAACCCATAATATTCCACTAGCCCTGTGTCATGGGAGAGTCTGTTAATAAAATGCTCAATAAAATTATATAAACACATATATACACACTAGATTGCCAAAAGTATTGGGACGCCAGCCTTTACACGCACATGAACTGTAATGGCATCCCAGTCTTAGTCCGTAGGGTTCAATATTGAGTTGGCCCGGCCTTTGCAGCTATAACAGCTTCAACTCTTCTGGGAAGGCGTCCACAAAGGTTTAGCAGTGTGTCTATGGGAATGTTTGACCATTTGTCAGGTCAGGTAATGATGTTGGACGAGAAGGCCGGGCTCGCAGTCTCCGCTCTAATTCATCCCAAAGGTTTTCTATCGGGTTAAGATCAGAACTCTGTGCAGGCCAGTCAAGTTCCTCCACCCCAAACTCCCCTATCTGTGTCTTTATGGACCTTGCTTTGTGCACTGGTGCGCAGTCATGTTGGAACAAACTGTTCCCACAAAGTTGGGAGCATGAAACTGTCCAAAATGTCTTTGATGCCTTAAGAGTTCCCTTCAACTGGAACTAAGGGGCCAAGCCCAACCCCCGAAAAACAACTCCACACCATAATCCCCCTCCACCAAACTTTACACTTGGCACAATGCAGTCAGGCAAGTACCGTTCTCCCAGCAACCGCCAAACCCAGACACGTCCATCGGATTGCCAGACAGGGAAGAGTGATTCGTCACTCCAGAGAACACATCTCCAATTCTCTAGAGTCCAGTGGCGGCGTGCTTTACACCACGGCATCCCATGCTTTGCATTGCACTTGGCGATGTACGGCTTGGATGCAGCTGCTCGGCCATGGAAACCCATTCCATGAAGCTCTCTACGCACTGTTGTTGTGCCAATCTGAAGGCCACATGGAGTTTGGAGGTCTGTAGCTATTGACTCTGCAGACAGTTGGTGACTTCTGTGCACTGTGCGCTTCAGCATGCGCTGACCCCACTCTGTCATTTTATGTGGCCTACCACTTTGTGGCTGAGTTGCTGTTGTTCCCAGTCGCTTCCACTTTGTTATAATACCACTAACAGGTGACCGCAGAATATTTAGGAGCAAGAAAATTTCACACAACACCTGAACCCAGTGATTTGTAGGGGTGTCCCAATACTTTTGGCAATATAGTGTGTGTGTGTGTGTGTGTGTGTGTGTGTGTGTGTGTGTGTGTATATATCTATAGATATAGATATATATACACACACATTTTTAATAGTCATTAAAACAGATATAAAAAATAGTTTGAAAGCTTATATGTTGTATAACACATTTAGAATCAATATGAATGTATTAGTTTCCCTTTAAAAATAAGTTGAAAAAGGCAGACTTCATGTTGTTTTCCCAACGGGTTTTCTTTTACGTCCAACATAACCATTGAGGGTAAAGGTCCACATTGCTGGAGAAGTGACAGGCCTATAACACTACTTAATGAATGATGCAAAATTAATCATTACTAGAATAAAGCCTTTTTTTTCCACCAAACCTCATTAAACCAAAACAAACAAGTTATATAATGGGCAGATAGGCCAATTATAATTGGCTTATCCCACCATGCTTGAAATGTACCGCATTTGCAAATAGCTATAAAAAGGGGGATTGAGAGAGGCGGTTTAAAGGGGAATGGCAAAGGGTGGTGTCCTGATTGTGGTAATAAATGAGAAGTGGGCTGACGTGGATGATGAGTGGAAATCTAAGCAAACTGTGAAGAACAGTGAGTGGGGACTCCAAAAGGATCGTGAATAGGACTCAGAGCGGAAGCAGAAGGAGGTGGGGAATGACTGAAGGGGAAACAGAAGGAGGTGGGGTATGGCTGGCAGGGAAACGGAAGGAGGTAGGATATGATTGGTGGGAAAGCAGAAGAAGGCTAGGTATGACTGGTGGGGAAACAGAAGGAGGTGAGGCATGATTGGTGGGGAAGCAGGAGAAGGCGTGGTATGACTGGTAAGGAAAGGAGATGCAAGGTGGGAAGGATGCAGAGGTATGATAGATGCAGGTGAGTGAATAGTGATTCAATGGTGGACAGGTGCCCTGTGAATGACATGGAGACTAAAGGACAAACTACAATGGGGAGTGCTTAGTCTCCAACTCTCAACACTGTTCTTTTGTTTCTATTCTGTTACATACTGTATGTAGAATACTTGAGTACTCTGAATTTTTTTAGTTTTTTTTTTTTTTAAATACTAGGGCCCCTTTATTGCATTTTCACACAAAGGTGAACTTACACTTTAAGGCAACACTGGGTTTTTGCTACCCTGCAAAAGTAAAAAAAAAATCTGCAAGTGATCCTTGCTGCAGAATTGTGGATATTCTTTATATTTACTCACTTAATATTCTGGCAAATCCAAAATCGCACAGCTTAATGACCAACTGCTTGGTGATAAGGATGTTCTCTGGCTTGACATCACGATGAATACACTGTGGAGATACAGATATATTATCTTTCAGCATAATATGGAAAGGAAAAAGGGAGTTGGGAGACATTGATCCTAACAAAAATGCAGGGTCTTATTTATTACAGTGTCCATTGGTTGACACCAAAAGGGTTACCAACGAGCTCCTGCGCAGGACCAACTTTGGGTTCCCCATTCAACTTCTAGCAAAGTATAAAGACTTGTTCACTATCTAATGACAACTAGATAGAAGTAAACTGTGTCCAAGTCTTCGTGACAGTGGGAGGTGTCCAAGCTCCAGATGTAGAGAATATAGACCCCCTGAGTCAAAGAGGGCCCTTGTGCAAGACTAACTATCACAGTGAACATTGATGGACACCAAAAGGGTCACCAAAGAGGCCCCTGTGCAAGACCAACTTTGGATTCCCCATTCAACTGCTAGCAAAGTATAAAGACTTGATCACTATCTAATGACAACTACTGTACATAGAAGTGAACAGTGTCCACATCTTTTTGACAATGGAGGTGTCTCGGCACCACATGTAGAACATATGGACCCAATCAGTCCCAGAGCGCCCTTGTGCAAGACCAAATTGGGTTCCCCATTCAACTCATAGCAAAATAAAAAGACTTGTACACTATCAAATTAAAGCTAGGATAGAAGTAAACAGTGGCCAAGTCTTTGTGACAGTAGGTGTCCCAGCACCACATGTAGACCCCAGTGTCCTAGAGGGCCCTTGTCCAGACGTACATGCACCACAAATGATAGATGCGCCCTGGCAGTGTTTAAAAACCATTTGGGCCAATTTGCTCTTGCCTTCTCTGATAAGTACAGAAACCACTCCCAAATATAAATGATTTCTGCCACATAATCAATGATCTAATACTTTCTTCCCATCTATCCTTCAATACCTAGTTATTCCCCAATGGCTTGTTTCAAATACACTATAGCAAGAATACATATATTGGTGATTGCATTGTCTTTTCATACAATGTCACCATAAAAGAAAATCAAACATGAAAATACGTTCCCTGTAAATCGGAAGGCGGAATTTGGGAATATAAGTACAGTGGGGCAACACGAAAAAAACAACGACAAAAGCGGCTTTAATATGACTGCATGCGGATCAGAACAAACAGATCATCCGCCACAGACGCTCTTTATAGGTATATAAACTCTTTAACGTGCTCTACTTTGCATGAGAAGTGGAAAGCAGATGGTGTGCAGTCTATAGTGTTATATGAATCAGTTCTATACAGCCTAGCAACCAGAGCAGAAGAGTAAATAAAAAAGCCAGAGGCCCACGGTATACAATGGGGGGAACTTATCAATACTGGAGCAGATTTTCACTGCAGCCAATCAGCTTCTCTGTCTCATTTTCAAATCTTACCTGAGCAAACTGATCTTGCTGAGTGATTTCAGCAAAATTTACATTGCTGCTGAATTTCAGATTTCGGTGAAGCATAAACACCTTTAAAACCAGCTTAAATTGCCCCCTTTAAAAACCACCTTCATTTTGCCTTCCCCTTTGACTACAATGCAATTTTCCAAAACTGTGGCATTTGGCCAAAATCTCCCAATTGTCACAGAAATTTCAGGCAAATGAAAAATCCCGATTGTGAGCATCCCTATTTAAAGAAATTACCTCCAGTCTTTCTCAGTTAAGGTTTCTTTGGGTAAGAATCTTCGTCTTGTGTCAACCAAAGAGTTAAACCAGTGGCCAACCAAAGAACAATTAGCTAAAACATAAACCCTGGCAAATGCAACGGCAACGATCACAACAGGAGAGTGTTTGTCACAAGGGAGATTAGTGCAAGATGAGACGAGGGAGGACAGTGTAATCCAGCTGGAAATGCTAATTGTTTCTATATTTGGCCTTTAACGGCCTCAGCAAGAAGAGAGAAGAAGGAGATGCATTGTGACAGGTACGGAGCCTCCGGGTGTGTCATGTGCAGGACATGTACAGATGATGCGGTAACTCATCAATAATATTCTTCACAGTCAGTCACCGAAATACACTCCAGGTCATTCAGGTCATTTATTTTTAAAAAAAGTTAAAAATAAAAAAGGATGAAGAGCCATAATGACCATGGCAAATCTTACGGAGTCGCCACACCTCTGAGTGTTCACACACGACGATTTGGGTACCATTCTTCTTAATATGTCTGTGAAGGTTCTCATTCATCCAGGTCATGGTATATCTGTAAAAAATAAGTCAAGGCAACTGGACTTGCTGTATTCTTTTCAAGAAAAATACAGCCAGTCCAGTTGCCTTGACTTATTTTTTTACAGATACATTCTTCTTAATAGAACCGTTCATACCTGCAAGTTTCAGTGTGCTGCGGTTTGTTAAAGCCCAGCATTTTGTATTGTCCACACAGCTGAATATCTCAAGCTGGAGTGAGTAGGGATGAACAGGGAATGATTTCAGCCACATCTGATTTTGCAGCAAAATGATTGATTTGCCACTTGACAAAAGTTCATGGAAGGAAAACCTTAGAAAAGTTTACTTTAATGGGAGCGCTAGTTGTAACTTTAAGTAAGTTACCTTAGTTAGAAGTTAGCTGACTTTATCTATAAAAAAATAAGTCAAGGCAACCATATAGAAAAATACTGCAAGTCCAGTTGCCTTGAGTTATTTTTTTTACAGATATACCATGACCTGAATGAATGAGAACCTTCACAGACATACTTAGCTGGCTTTAGTCAGCCTTTAACAAGCATCAGAAGGCATCTAGCAAGCTCAGGAACTACAGAACAGTGGTCTGCAGAGACAATGGGGGGGGGGGATTTATCAAAACTGGAGCAGACAAAATCTGGAACAGTTGTGCAATTGTAACCAATCAGATTCTCTCTTCAGTTTGTACAGTTTAGCCTTGAAAATGGAAGAGAGAGAAGCTGATTGGCTATTATTATAGAAGATTTATATAGCGCCAACTGTTTGTGCAGCGCTTTACAATATAAGGAAGACATTACAATCACAATACAACTGCTCCAGTTTTGATAAATTCCCCTCAATGTGTTTTATACATACATTCTGAGATGCTCTTCAGACTCATTTTTAATTAAAAGAATTATACTGTACCTAGTCACATAGCTGTTGAGCCAGGGGAGGACTGGGAACCTTTGGTTTAAGGGGAAAACACAACCAACTAGGCGTTTTAGGGTAGGGACCGATGTCTGCAGGACTAAAGAAAGTGTACCAAGCAAAGTGTTTCATGGTGCTACAGTGAGTGGTGGGCATGGTGAGAGGTGGGTGCTAAATGACATTACGCACCTTCAGCATCACCTTCCTTTGACGGTCCCATCATTCGGTCACATGACATCTTGGAGAGGCAAAGGAAGTTAGTTTTGGAAGACTGCCCTCTGCCAAAGGCTGTGGGCCTAGGTCTGAATGGTGAGCAAGTAACTATATAATGCTCACCATGTGTCACTGACTGTGGTCCAGAGGACCACCAGTCCAACATTTCTTATTAGTACTGACCCAAGTTACAAATGCCCCTCTGCTCCTGAGCCCAGCCATCCCCTGTGCTAAGCACTTGCTTAATGGCTCCCATGAGTGATGTTAGAAGGTAACCATGAGCTACGGGCAGTTCACAAACCAATGCCTGGGGATGGCTGTAGGTGCCAGTAAATAAACCAGATTAACCGTGCTCTCGAAATTCGGTGTACTTACATTGTGTTTGTGGCAGAAATTGACGCCTTGTAACGTTTGCCAGATTATGCTCTTTACAAGATGTTCCGGTACACTAAAGAAAACAGAAGGTAAAACAAATCAGCTCAGCAAAATTTGCTTGTCATAGAATGTGCACAGCGAGGAAGTCATTGGTATGTCTCAAAAATACCACAGCACCAGCTACCAGTGGTGGGATACACCATAGCAGTAATGGCACCGGTAATTTACTAAAGGATTGTAGTGCAGCATACAGAATGACCTTTACATGTCTATACACTTTTGGCCATACAGTGAATACTGTTGGAAATGCAACAGCATATACTGACATGTACCGATTGTATTACTGACTGCAATATGTCTTTTGAGCTGTAGATGGCGCTGTAGTGCAATGTTAGTTTTCGATATGCATGCTCATCTATCATACACAGGAGGTTTTCAATTGAAGGCTACCCCATAAAGACTCAAATACTATGGCTCTTATCACCATAACAAACAGCACAGACGCCCCTCCAAATTAACCTCTTCCATGCTGGGGGGGTTAATGGACACTTTATTTCTCTTTTTCAGCGCCAGGCACTAAAACATAATGATATATAAAATTCCCACAATTGATACAAGCTGGGTGAAGGCAGCACTGCTGCAGTGGGACTGCGGAAACAAAGAAACAAAAACTCTATATTATATTGTACAGGATTTATATAGCGCCAACAGTTTGCTCAGCGCTTTACAATATAAGGAAGACATTACAGTTACAATACCAATCAAGACAAGATGGTAAGGAGAGCCTGGCCCTAGCTCGTCAGCTTTAGTAAGTTTTTTTTCCCAATTGATTACATTTTAAATTGAGAAATTATCTACAGGGAAGAAGAAAAGAAAAAGAACTTAAACATTCCATATTCAGATCAAAATGTATTATCGGCATTTCACATTTGGTTCTTTATCTTACGATGACAAGAATTGCGACATCCAAAAGACAAAGCTAAAAAGTGGCAGATATGGAAGCCGTACCTTGTGCAGAATACAGCTTGACGAGCAATAAGCTGTGGTTGTCAACTTACAAGGTATAGGAGGGTCTCAAATGTGGACCCTGATATGTCCAAAGGGAGATTAATAAAAGCCCCTTTACAAATTAACACTCCTTCTACTGACAGATAGGGGGCCAAGGGCCACACTTCAAACACCAAGGGGTCACAAACAGCCCTCGGGCTGCAGGTTGGATGTTAGAGTAAATGGTCAGAGATTGTTCTACAGGTGTGGCTGGGGACTGAAGTCATGCTGTAGGGGACAGTAAGAGACTGGAGATGTGTTTTGAAACTGCCAGAGATGAATAAAAGCCCCATTACAAAGCAACACTCCCTCTACTGACTGCTAGGGCCTGAGGGCCGCACTTCAAACACAAAAGGACCACGTGTGGCTCTCGGGCTGCAGGTTGGGCATTAGAGGAAATGGTCAGAGATTGTTCTACAGGGGTGGCTGGGGACTGAAGTCATGCTGTAGGAGACACTCAGGTAATGGGGACATGGTATAAGAAACTGCAGTAGATTATTACAAGCCCCATTACAAATTAATACACTTTCTACTGACTGCTAAGGGCGCACTTCAAACTCCAAAGGGCCACATCTGGCCCTCGGGCTACAGCTTGAAGACTAGCGGAAGTGTCAGACTGTGGACTTGTTACAAAAAACTGCTAAAGATTACTAAAAGCCCCTTTAAAAATCATCCCCCCTCTACAACAATTACAATTATTTATTTATATAGCGCCAACATATTCCGCAGCGCTGTACAATTGTTTAGACAAGACAAGTAAGAAACACTGACCAGCATCACTGACATACAGAAACAGTAGGTGAGGAGCACCCTGCCCAAGCGAGCATACAGTCTAAGACCCCATTCACACGTAGCGACATACCTTTTGCAGCGGATCCGCACGGCCGGGATAGCGCGACTTTCGGGGCGACGTTCCAGCGACGATCCAGCGACGGTAGCGCGACCTTCTCCATCGGGCTCCATAGAAAAAAGGCAAAATCACGCAAAATCCGCCGAAAAAAGGGTTTGGTAGAAGCGACTTGCGACCGCGATGAGCGACATGGAGTTAAGACAGCTCCATTGAATAGCATTGGCCGGCGACTTCTCGCGATATCGCGCGGCGGAAATCGCTCGATAATTCGCTACATGTGAACGGGGCCTTAGAGGAAGGGGACCAAAGACACAGGTGGGGAAGGGGAGACTACAGATGTATACCAAATAAGATAGGAGGGGATTTGGGAGTACTGTGAAACGGGAGCAGAAGGGAAAGTTGTATGGGGTAAGAATCAAGGGAAGAGCTGATACGCTACTAGGGACTGCTAGGGCCTGAGGGCCACATTTCCAATAACAAAGGGGCTGCATGTGGCCCTCAAGCCGCAGGTTGGGCACCAGGAATGTAATTTAACCCAAGAACAAAAATGTAATGTTTTGCACCTTACCAGTCCTTAGTTATGGTGGCTGCATTAGTTTCCATTTTCCAGGCTAGGATGATTTTCATAAAGTACGAAAAAATACCTGTTAATATTTCCTGTGTTCTTGTCACTTCCTGGGAGCTGAACTGGAGGGACAAACAATACTTTCTTCCTTCTGTAAGCTCCCAATCCCACCATCCCCAATTTAATAGAGATGAAAAGAAGAAATGTGTGAAGTGCAGCCTGGATGACCACCATGACTCCGTCTATAGATACAGCGGAGGAGTGAACGTAGCCACCAGGTGACAGGAAGTGTGTTTGAAGGATTACCAGCTGAGAATAAAGGGTTAAAAGAAACCTGAAAAAAGAAGAAAACTAATGCAGCCACCACATCTAAGGATAAGCTGCATTTTATGACAATTTTTTTTTTTTGGTTTAGATATACTTTAAGAAGCTGCCCATTATTACAGATTTTCCAGTCCTGACTGAAGGGCCTCCAGTCTCGCCATTCCTAAGCCCACAGCGACTGTTACAGTCACAGAAAAATCCGGCCGCAGCTTCCCGGCAATCCCACGCAACAACCGTGACGTCTGTGACATCGCTCCACAATGCGGATCACACTCTTTGCATACAGCAGAAGCCGGAGTGTTGCAATTGTTTAATATGGTCAGGTCAGGGCAGTAAAAATCGTGTAGAATGCTCCTCTCCCTGTAATACCTCTGTTTGTTTTGGCTACTGTTTCCCCATATTCAAGATTAGCGCGGCTTGTTAAGCAAAGTTAGGAGCACTTAACCTGCACTTAGCTGGTAACGGTGTCTGCTTACGACATGGGTTTTCAGGCCCCGGCCTTTTAATCAGCGGCGCAGAAGAATTAAATGTCACTCAGTCATATAATCTCACAAATAATAGCGTAGGACGGGGATAATCTTTTTAACTTGCTGAATGCTCGCCGTGTGTTGAGGATGACATGTAATTAGGGAACTGGGACTATGTTGTTTTTCTGGATTGGGCTCAGAGACATGAAAGGAGAACTACAGCCAAGAGCAGAAATAAGCTCTATAAATACATTTATAGACATGGGCCAAGGAGATTGGGGCTTTACCACTGATGAGGAGGACTATGGCCCTGCTGGGGCAGACCCTTACCAATGAAACATTGTACCTTCACCTATATAAAGCCCCCACTTGCTGCCTCCTCCCTCAAACACACTTGTAGACTCTTTTTTTCTTTTACTTAAACAGTAAATACCGTTATTAATGTAATTATAGGTCCACCTTCTGAAATGTTGCCTATGGGAGGGTGATGACGTCTGGCCACCAGCTGCCTCCTTGAATGTCTACTTCACACATGGCAAGAGGCAGTGTGCAAGATTTCATGCATGGGCATTTAATGTCTTGGGTCTCTGCCTGGTCCCTGGCAGAGACCCAAAGCCTGTCTGCAAATGCATGAAATCCAGGTCCCATAAACCGGGCAGAAACCCGCGGTGTCTCTACGTATGCGTGGAATCCAGGCCCCCTAAACCCGGCAGAAACCCGTGGCGTGTCTGCGCCTGCATGGAATCCAGTTCCAAAAGAGGTTTCCACCGCACTCCTTACTGGTAGGTCCCTTTAAAGTGGGTGCTGCAGTGATAGTGGATGGCGCCACTTAAAATCCAAATAGTTAAGTATATCACCAGCACACCAAATTTTTTCAACGAGTGGTCATTTTATTGATGTACCCACATCTCATCATAAAGCAACGTTTCGAGGCCACTCAGGGTCCCTTCATCAGGCATGACCTGATATACGTAACTATTTGCATGGAATCCAGGTCTCATAAACCTGACAGAAACCCATGGCATGTCTGTGCCTGTGTAGAATCCAGATCCCATAAACCTGGCAGAGACCCGTGGCATGTCTGCGCCTGCATGGAATCCAGTCAGTGTGCTTTACATTTCCTAAACCGATAAATACATTCACACTACTGTTACAAGGATGGCAAAAGTGGCAGACGGGCGGGGAGAAGGCGGGGGAAGAGGCAAAGCGGGAGGGGGGTCAAGTTGCCGCACCATGGGCCTCTGGGTTGTACTTGCCCCCTGGGCTAAAAGTTGCCAGTCAGCCCCTGAATCCAGGTCACATAGACCTGTCAGAGACCCGTGGCATGTCTGTGCCTGTGTAGAATCCAGATCCCATAAACCTGGCAGAGACCCGTGGGCATGTCTGCTCCTGCATGGAATCCAGGTCCCATAGACCCGGCAGAGACCCACAGTGTCTCTTCGTATGCGTTGAATCCAGGTCCCATAAACCTGGCAGAAACCCATGGTGTGTCTGCACATGCATGGAATCCAGGTCCCATAGACCTGGCAGAGACCAATGGTGTCTCTACGTATGCTTGGAACCCAGGTTCCACAGACCAGACAGAGGCCCATGCCGTGTCTGCAGAGCTGTGTTGTCATTTCAAAGAGGAAGGTAGGAGTACATTAATAGTTATTCTTCCATACTTGCAGCGTGTTTAGATGATAAAACATGGAGAACTCTATGTGTATTGCAGAAATGTATGCAATGTTTTTGTACTTTTTGGTACTGTTTGTACTGTTTTTGCTCAAAAATGATTGGTAACACTGCCCTGATCCCACCAGATTAATGTGGAGTGTAGATTTTAAGGACAGGTCTACTTTGCAGGGACACAAACCACAAGAATAACATGTCAACCTGAAACAGGAAAACAAATGCGATTTTATATCTGTTCTTTTTTTTCTTTTTCTATTTGCGTTCAGAGCGGATTAAGTGGCACTCCCGCACCGCTTATCATGTTTATTCATTATGCCGATACTGTATGTCAACACTACGGACAGGCTGCTGTTTACACGAGGCCTCAATTAATCAGATCCAGGCGAGTCCTTCATCCAATACACAAGCCGCTCCGGTGATTTATCAGATATTGCCATGGCACCAAGTTGCTGTGCGGGACGAAGGCCAGTGCATTAAAATGAAGTATAGTTTGCACAATGCTAAAAAGTAAACAGTGATCACTGACATCCAGGACCTACAATAACCTGCTATGGAAGCATGGGAGGGGAAGAGGTGGGGACATCCATCATTGTAGTGCAACACCATTAACAATCACTCCCTGCTAAACATGACGGCCATAGGAAAGGAACACTCATAATGTACATAGACTGGCTCATTACTCATTGCTTAGATCCAGGCAGACCTCTTTAAACTGTATTTTCTTTAAAGGTGAACTTTGAGTGAACGGCTAAATACATATTTGTGAACTACGTTGGATTTCAAATTGTGTTTATCCGGTCTTGTCATCCAGAACTGTACCGCATACTCAAGATGATTGGCCGAACCAATGATTTTCATAACAAAAGCCAAGCTAAAAACACAGCTAACAATTGATAAAAGGAAACAAAGCATATCATTTCACAGTGCTCCAGCAAAATGTTTCCCCCAGTCACTCACCCTCGCGGATGTCGGTCAAGTTCATGAAGGACAGTGTGGTCGCAATATTCAAAGACCAAATGTAATTTCCTCTTTCTTCTAAAGACTTCCAGCAGGTTAACAAGGTTTGGATGTTTTAATTGCTGTGAAACAAAATTAATTTTCATTGGCATAGTTCATAAGGGTACATAGTGTAGTAAGGCAAGAAATGGAGAAGCAAGTTTTAAAAAAAATGTTAATATATAAACTGAGCAGATAGCATATTCCGATTATAATTTAAAGCCTGACTCCAGCTTTAAGTAAAAACACATTGCCCATCAGTAGTTAAAACAAAAAAATAGCAGCGGTTGTTGATCCAGGGAATATCTGATGGCCTTGGGGGTTCAAGAAGGAATATTTTTAATCCCCTGTTGGAGCAATTTGAACCATACTTATACTTACTATAAGGTTTTTTGACTTCCTCTAAATCAACTGTGGGTAACTGTGTGCATAGGATTCTGTATATGGACGGTTTTCTAATTATTCTTATTTTTCTTCAAGATTGGTTCAACTTGACCAACGACGACTAACTAACTACCTTTTGTTGCAATACTCAGCCAATCCCTGGTGCTGTCCCGTGCAGGTCCTCCACCACTCCTCTCCCGGGCTTACTGATGCCGGCTTCCTATCAGTCCAGGCTGTCCCGGACCTGCCCCCTAGGTGCTTTCTGGCCTTACAGGAGAAAGCTGCAGAAAACATTGCCACATCATTATGTGGCGCCTTTCTCTGCTGCACTTAAGACCCGTCCACTTCCAGAGCAACTATGACACCATGTGACCAGTACGAAGATCCCAAGCAGATAGAGATGTGTACAGATTACAAAAAAATTATATTTGGGGTGAAGGGGTATTCCAAGGGTGAGGTGCTGGAAAAGGGATGGGGGGGGGACTTGGCTTTGAAGAAGAAGTCTGGGAAAATCAGTCTTACCCTTGCAGTGGGTCTAACATCAATGCAAGGGTTAAGTGCTTATTTTGACTATAAAGATTGTCAAATCAAGATGTGTTACTCACCTGATCTTCGGTCACCTTTCTCCCCCTCTGCTCCGGCTATGTAATGTCTCTCAGTGTCCTTGTGTCTAATATAAAAGTCAATGGACCTACAAAAGACCCGATGATGTCAGCAGTCCTTGGACCGCGGAAGCCCTGGGCAGAAGAGGCCTAGGGGACCCCGCTATCAGCATGGAGGAAGCCAGCGGGACCAAAGGTCAGAAACTTAATTCTGCTTTATTTGAGACCCCTAGACAAAACGAGGACTTAACCCTTGCAGTGTTGGGGTAGCCACACTGCAAGGGTAAGTTTGAGATTTTCCCGGAGTTCTTTTTTAAAGCTTCACACCCCCCCCTAAATAATGATAACATTTTGGGCAGACTTAGACAGGCATTTTTCCACCCCATACTTTGTTTATGTTTTCCTTATTATGTTCTAAACGTCCTACAGCGAGGAAGGACCTCCACCGTCACGGTAGAACATGTCACTTTTTCCATGTCAATCGGTGGCATCGCCTAATCCCCTGAAGATCAAAACACAAATAGGAGAAGTAATGAGGTTGTCTTTGCTGCTGCTCGCAGGACACACAAACACGGCTCCTCGCCATCTCCTCCAGGTATTGTTAGTTACAGCCCGGCGTTCCCTAAATATTTGCTTTCCAGCAGCCCTGTACAGGGAGGATCAGAAGCAGCTTAGCTACACAAACACAATGGCAGATAGCGCTTGGCATTCCGGAGGATCAATAAACACAGGTTGTTACTATTTACTGTGCACAGGGAAAACACGGCACCAACAGGTCTCCACATGTTCAGCTAATATTGAGAAAAGTTACTGGCCATTCCTGGTCGCCTCTTCTCTTTTTTGGGGAGGCGGGAAGGGCGCATGAGACAACTTTATGAGCGAATGGGAAGCCTATAAAACTCTGACTTACAGGAAATGCACATCCTGTCAACATTTTTTTCTTTTTTACTTAAAGGGTCAATGTTCTCCGAACACAAATTCCACTTATTGGTGAACGCAGTAGACTTAAAAGGAGAATTCCTGGTCGCAAAAAAAACAAACTTAACCTTGCAGGATGGCTACCCCGCCCTGCAAGGGATAACATCTAGATTTGGTCTCGGGGCCGGAATAAAGACAATATACTCAGCTGATCCTGTAGTGGTCAGCCGCTCCGGCTTTGGAATGTCCCTCGGCATCCTCACTTCTAATGCAAGTCAATGGACCTGCATTACACATGATGACATCAGCGGTTCTTAGACTGCCGGAACCCAGGGGAGAAGAGGCTGCGGGAACCGGTCTATTAGCACCCCAAAAAGATTGAGGATCAGGTGAGTAAATCTGCTTCATTTGAGCCCTCTAGACAACACAAGCACTTAACCCTTGCAGGTAGCCCCTCTGCAAGGGTAAGTTTTTAGCTTTAAAGTTCATCAAAGTGCATCATGACTTTGATAGTTGTTATAACTTCTGTCTATTTTTCTTGTTCAAGTAGAAGACCACACGAGGTGCCTCTACATCTGCTTGAACCCAGTAGAAGGACCCCGTTTATTGATTTGTAGAGTCTATATTTAGGCCCAAATTGCCTGAGTCAAGCAGCTGTCTACAAAGCAGATGCCTCCCCAATAAAGGGGTCACCCAGCTTGAGAAATCCACGTGTAGTTGAACAGAATGAGCGGCAAATACATGTATCAAGAGTCCAGAACTGTATGATATTAATCCAGAGGTGTCAAAAGGGCGACTCAAGATAGCCAACGCATATCAGGGGCCAAACACTCCCTCTTATCAGGACTTTGACAGAGATAATCTCTCTGACTTTCAGCTAGGAGCCTGGATTAATCAGAGGTATTTAAAAGAGCCAGGAGAAAAGAACATATAATTAATGGACGTCTGTGTTAAACAGTCATGTGACATAGTTTGATTGATTGATGGATTGGTCCGGGCTCCTAGTCTGCTAGTCAAAGAGATTATGTAACAGTTGTGAAAATTCCGATGAAGGGGGATTGTTTTGCCCCAGAGACACGTTGCTTGTCTTCTGTTACCTTTTTGACACCGACTAAATGTTTGTTATGGGTTTCTATTCACACAGCATGGCTAAAAATATTAAAAGAAAAATATATGTCTTACCATTTAGATGTTTGGAGCAGGCCTTTGGGCAGACTGCAAGCTACTCTGGACAATTTGGTATTGAATCTGTCCGCCAAGACAAAGGAGGGACAGACTAAGCTTCCCCTCATTAACAAAAAATGCTTGTCTGTCTTTCACCAAATTGTTAGGACAGACAGACAACTGATAATGAGATCTGCCAGCACAGTACAGACAGGGCATATTATTAGGGATGCACTGATACTGAAACTAGTGACGGGAGAGCATGGAGCCGGCTTCCCGGCCAATCAGGAAGCCAGGTGCTGTATAAATGACGCGACGCCCGGCTTTCTGATTGGTCGGGAAGCCAGCTTCATGCTCCCTTGTTGCCTCATGACGAGGGAGCATGGAGCCGGCTTCCCGGCCAATCAGGAAGCCGAGTGCGGCGTCATTACACAGCACCTAATAATAAGTACTATACTTGTTGCACTCCTTACCGATATGTCCCTTGTAGTGGGGAGTGCTCGCAGTGACCGCGGATGGCGCCGCGAATGTCAGCAATTGTAGAAATGTCACCAGCACACCAATCATTTTAAAATAGCAAAAGCTTAATTTTTTGAAGCTTTTTGTCATATGACCAAACAAGCGCTTTCGGGACCGCACAGGGTCCCTTCATCAATGCGAAAGCCTGATGAAGGGACCCTGTGCGGTCCCGAAAGCGCTTGTTTGGTCATATGACAAAAAGCTTCAATAAATTAAGCTTTTGCTATCTTAAAAGGA